AATAAAAGTGGGCAAAATCCAAGAATTAACAAATTAATTTTTTAAGAAGACCACGTTTTCATGACTTGTTAATGAAGACTTTCTGTCATAGAGCGTGAAAAATGAAAACTCACAGTCAAGGCGCACCGGTCTAGCCACTTGGTCAATCGAAAAAGCTGGTACTTGACGTTTGCGCCTTAGCAGCAGCTTTTTTCGCACGATAAGTTCGTTGATGTTTAAGGGTGCCTTCTTTGTGCTTTTATATCCGTGCTTCACTTCATCTCCACCGTATCCTGCAATTTTTGAATTAACTGTTTCAGGAGCGTTTCGTCTCACAAAAACTGCTGTACTTCAATGCAAGTATTACAGCTATTTTCGGTAATTCATCATGACATATGCAATAATAATCTTATTATATGCAAAAACAAGTGTTAGAATAAAAGAAGAGGAATCAAAAGAGAAAAGTAAAAGGGATCAAAAGACAGTGTTTTATGTTAACCTCCGAAAACATGGAGATCGTACGGATCCTCGGCATTCGGACAGCAGAAGAAGTCCACGCCATTAAAGAAACAAACTGAATTGTCAGGGCATTGATTTCGGCCTGGAAGACACATCACGGGTCTGCCATCTACGTACTGCATTGGCTTCAGCCTGTTCGGGCAGCTTGGAACACGGGCAACATCCTCGACACGGTTCGATGCAAGTATTACCGCTGTTTCCGGTAACTCATCGCTAACTACTGCAACTGTGACTCCGGCCGCTGCGGGTTGTGATGGTGACAACGACGAAGATGAAGCTGCTGTGAGCGTTTTTGAACCACTCGCTATAAAAAGTTTTTATTTTTTGCTTATCTGTCACAGTGTGTTTTGGTCAGCTCTAAAATGTTTTCTGGCGCGCCATACAAACAATGATATGTGCTGCATGCTTCATGTGCTGTCCACAGTTATAATCTCCAATGGTGGATGTGTCGGAAGAAAATATGAAAAATGCGAAGAATATGGCTAGTGAGATAAATCATAAAAAGTGGAGGCAGAATTCACCTAAACGAGTCTTACGGAGGAAGTGCAACAGACCCAAAATGGAAATTTAGCGCTAAAGGACCAAGAAATGTCGTTTATTCAGAACGCAAAAAACAGTAAATCAGTGCAGTTTTAAGAAACGGAAAACAATAATTTCAGCCTGTGGGTTTCTTTTTGAATCAAAACCTTGCAAGAAGCTATCAAGCAGCTTACCAGAAATGCGAGTGCCGTTTTGGTAATTGACCTCCATTGGAGGCGATGAACCGAGTGATGGTTTCTGACTGACCAGTGCCTCATTAGACGAAAGGCGCTGGCCATGTTCCAGCGGCTCAGTATGGTAAGATGACGATGAAGACGAAATCGGCTGCGCAGAAGTCACTAACTCTGTCGGTTGCACGGATAGACTAGACGTAGCCGAATATTGCTGCGGGCCAGATCGCATCTCTGCGGCACCAACTGGATTCTTGACAGCAGATAATCCGCTTAAATTTCTTTAATCTAGTATGTTGTTTTGCTACTCTCATAATGACGAACTTCAAAACAACTCTTCTATGAAGACGTCCTGGCCTTTGCTT